TCAGCCCTGGAGCTGCTTAGCAAGAAGCCCAATACATAAAACATAGTTTTTATTTTACTGTCTTGATTTTTATATTTTATTTTAATTAATTTTATTGAGAAAGAAATAGCAATGAGATAGTTTCAAAGTAGGTTAGTAGGACAGTTACAATAATTAATACATTACATATTGTTGTCTCCCTAGTAGTTATTCATACTACAAGGTGCAGACATGGTATCTTGTATAAACACTGTTAGTAAAAATCTTTCTTCTCACTGAATTAAGAGAAAGTAGCTGTATATCTATCCTATTTTGTATATGCAGATATATATTTTTTTCTGCAAAATGGTCCTTCATTTATATCCTTTGCTTTTGTTTAGTTTTGTCAGAGATGGATATTACATTGCCTTTAAAATATTGTAGGTGCGTGAATTCAGCAAAATAATCCAATATAGTCCAGTAGTCTGTAATAGTAGTGTATTACCTGCAGGACTGGCATTGTCAGAAGTTGTTGACTGAAGCACTTTACAGCTCAGCATATTAATATGGCTTTACTTTTTATACCTCGTTTTATACTTTTCTGCTGGGTGGTTAAGACCAAGATAAAGCAAGACCTATATAACAAGAAATGTAGCTTTTGTATCTGACAAGGTCAGTCAAATCCCCTCAGGATTTACCCTGAAACCCTGTAGCACACTTTGTAGATCCTTTGTCAGTGTCAGACATGTGGATGAGTCACAGCCATTGCTTGACCAATTTGCTTTCTGTGAAAGCCTGAGAGAGCGGTTTGTCTCCATGTGACTCTCCTTAGGCACACTCTACATCGTCAGTCACTTTCCTCTGTGGCCCCATAACCTCCTTGATCAGAAATTTTGGGAAACCACTGATTTCCAGGATGTTACATTACAGGTTCTCCTATGTCCTGAGTCCTCACTGACCTTGAATGGCTAGGGCCAAAATGTTGACTACCCTTGTAATCCTTCTTTTCCTCTAATTTTTTGGTCTGCAAACTTAAGTTGTTAACCCTGCAGAAGAGAAGCTTAATGATATTATTACCGTATAGCATAGAACGTTGAGCTTATCGCCACTATCTGTCTGAATATCAGATGCCTTAGTCATAACATAGAACAGGTATTTTCCATCAATTTTTGATATGCTAAACTTTAAATCCCTACAGAATTTGAAAAAAAGTTATAATTAGAAATAGACAATTACACATTTTTTACACAGAAATTTAGAAATCTAACTATATACAATGTTGTAGCAGGACAGTCCTATGACTTTTTTTTTCTTGTCTCTTGTTTTCATTTACTACCATTTTTTGAAAAACATTTACTTGAGGGAGAGTAAAACAGTGATTGATATGACACTAGAAGCAGTACACACTTAGCAGATCAGAATGACAGGCATTCCAAGCATGGCACTAATATTACACATTGTTCTCCTCAGAGCAGGTGAGAATCCTACCAATTAACTGTTTTTTTAAAAAACCTGATGGAGATTCTCAGGATCATTGCCTTAACCATCTTATGTATATAAATGTATGGTTTTTTCACCTGTTGTGATTCCTATCATTTCTTCTGGCCCTTTGTTTAATCCTTACGTTCTCACTTTCAATTCAATTGTAAGATATAATGCAAAAAAGAAAGATTTTTATATTTGAAAAAGAAGAAATTATCTCAAACACCTAACAAGCCCAGATTTTTTTTTCCGGAACCAGGGATTGAACTGAGGCCCTTGCACTTGCCAGAGAAGCGCTTATTCCACTGAGCCATCTCCCTGGCCCCCAAGTCCAGATCTTAACATCAATTTTAGAATGAGCAATGGGGTTAAACATGTTTGTATGTATATATTCACATAAGATGTCATCTTAAAATAGTAAGACTGAGCATCTGCTTTGGCAAGCACTGGGGCCAGTGTTCCAT